TGAATAATGCTGGACCATCCAAAACTGTAGAAGAAGAACTTGCTAAAAAGATTATTCGCAAAAAGAAAAGTAAAATTACTTTACCTGTACTCGCTACCATGGCTGAACCATATGATATTTTAGAAGATTTGGCTCAACAAAAAGCGAATATAACTGTCACTCAACTCATTCAGACTTCACCATCACAAAGAACTTAATTATCAAAAGGAATATGCCGTAACAATATTATATCTAATATATTAAATACATAAATAATTATTTATATATCTAAAATAAAATTAATCTTTATAAAATATAATACAAAAACTAATTTATTATATAAATAATACAAAATAAAAATTTAAGCTAAAGAGAGATAATCTAATCAAAATTATTACATTATTATTTTATATATTTATATTTAATATTTATTATATTTTTTATTTTTTATAATATAATATTAATTAATATTATATATATATTAATCTTTATATTATTTTAAATAGCAAAAACTTTTTTTACAGATTATTTTTAATTAAAATTAGTTTAGAAAAACTTTGAAAATATTAATTAATAATATTTTATTAATTTTTAATAGAATTTAAATTAGAAAATTATAATAATTACTTAAAAATTATTAATAAACTATTTCTTAATTACTTTTATTATATATTTTAAATTATTATCTGATTAAAAAATAATATTATTTATAATTAAATTATAATTTAAAAGTATTTTAAAAAAATTTTATTAAGAAATTAAAATATAAAAATTAAATATTTATATAATTATTAATATAAATAAGTTTTTTAATATTTTATAATATAAAATATCTTTATATTATAATATATTTATTTTCAAACTTAACTATTAAATTTATATATATGCCAGTATAAAAAGATTAATATATCAATATAAAATTAATAATTATTTCTAATAAATTATTCAAATTTTTATATTTTTTTATATTAAATAAAGAATAATCTAAATTAACTTTTTAATACTATTTTAATTATTTTATTATACTTTAATTTAATAATAAATAAAACATTACTAAAATAAAATTATTTTTTTTAAAAAAAATAATATTTTAAATATTATCATTATCAATTTGCAAGATTAGAACTTTAAACTATGCAAATAAATTGCTCTAAATTTGATAAATATATATTTTAAATTTTATAAAAATTAAATTAGTAAATATAAAAATATTAATCTTCAAAATTTAGTAATTAAATTATTTACTATATAATTTTTATATTAATTTTAATCAAATTTTATATAGTAAAATTTAAAAAATATTAATTTAAAAGAGTTTATATTAATAAAATTTTTTTGTTAAAGATATATAATAAAAATTTTTATATTTAAAATTTAAATAAGTATATTTTTTATTAATTCTTCTAAATAAGTAAGTAGTTTAATTAAGAAATAAGATGAAAACTTTGAATTAAAGAAATTATTTTCTTTTAATATCTTAATAAGATTAGTTATTTCTTGTATAAATTAATTAAATTACTTACTATTTATTTTAATTATAATTTAATTCTAAACTAAAATATAATATATATAATATAATATAAGATATAAAAGAATGATATTTATAATAATTATATTTACTACTGTCAAGTTATAAAATTATTTTGTAAATAAAATAAAATATAATATAAATAGTTTTAATTTATAAAACTTATAATTTTTATTATTTGAATAATATTCAAATCTAAAGTTAATTTATAAAACAGAAAGAATATATTTATAATGAAAATAAATAAATATAAAATAAATAAATTAATAATTATTTTTATAATTAAAATATATATAATTAAATAAATTAATTAACTTATTTATATTTTTGAAAGATAATTAATTATAATTCAATAAATTATAAATAATATAAATAATAATATAAATATTAAATAAGAAGAATGAATAAAAATAAAGAAAATAATAATTAAAAATATAATTAAAAATATTAATAATCTAAATTAATAATAAAAATATATACAGTGGCAATCAAAAATAATGCAACGCTTAAATTTTTTACTAATTATAATTAGTAAAAAATTTAAGTGTTACATTATTTTTGATTGTCACTGTATGATAATTATTTATATAATAATATAATAAATCTAATTAATTAAATATATGAATAATTATTTGTATATTCAATATAAAAATAATCTTTAAAGAAATAATACAGAAGCTAATCTATTATACAAATAATATAAAATAAAAATCTAATCTAAAAGAAAATAATCTAATTAAAATTATTATATATTATATTTAAAATCACTTTTTTAAAAAAAATTTAAAATATATATATTAATTTATAACTTATAAATTTTATTTTAATAAACTTTAATATAAAGAAAAATTTTAATTTTTATTAATTTTATTGATAAAATTAATTTTTTAATAATATAATTATAAGAATTACTATATATAAAATTTTTAATTTTGTTAATAAATATATTTTTAACTTAAAATAAAACTAAATTTTTTATTTTAATATATTTTTTATATATTATTTAAATTATCTGATTAAATTTATTTTTAAATTATAATAATACTTTTTATTATACAATAAAAAATATAATTAAATTAATAAAATTAATTTTTTATGATATAATTATAAGAATTATTATATATAAAATTTTTAATTCTATTAATAAATATTTTTTTTTAACTTAAAATAAAACTAAAATTTTTCATTTTACTATATTTTTTATTATTTAAATTTTAAATAATTTTAGTAAAATATAATTAATATAACTCAAAAAATTTTAAAATTGTTTTTTATTAATTATTTTATAAATTATTTAAATTATCTAATTAAATTTATTTTTAAATTATAATTATATAATAAAAAATATAATTAAATTAATAAAATTAATTTCAAAATAAATTTTAATATTTAAAATAGATACAAAAAATTTTAATATTTTTAAATAAAAATTAATTATTTTTTTAAATAAAATAAAATTAACTAAAAGTTTTATAATTAAAATTATTTTTTAGAAAAATATATATTAAATTATTTTTAAATTATAAATTTTAATATAAATATTTTAATTTTTAATCTTTTATTAATAAAATTGATCTTTTAATTTCAAAATTTAAATTATTTTTAAAAATATTTAAAAATTAATAATATAATTAAAGTTTTAAAAAAGTTAATTTAAACTAAACTAAACTTAATATTAATTTAATTTTAAATATACTAAATATATTAATAAGCTAACTTAATTAATATTTTATTTATTTATTTTATTCTTAAAATATTTAATATAATATTGTCAAATTACTATACAATTATAAAAAGTTTTAAATATAATATTAACTCTATAATATATTATTTTTATCTTATTATTCAGTTAAAATTATTTAATTAAAGTTTTATATTTCAAATAAATTTTGAATTAGTCATTTTTTGATATAATATTTTAAATCTAAGTAAATTAAATATGTATGTATTGCAATTATTAAAATCTTTTGTTTGATAATTTTCATTCTATATAATAACAATTTTCTTGTTACTTTAAAATAAATATAAATATGAGTTAATATTAAGTAAATTATAATATAAATATATGCAAAAACATATTTATTTAATAATTCAATAAAGCCCACTTAATATTTCTCTTTTATTAAAAAATAATGATCATATTTTAAGTTATATGAAAGAAAATATGTTAATTCCAGAATCTTATCTAAAGAATAACGACAATTTTTATTCTTTAATTTCAAAATCTATTATAAATTACATAGAAAAAATCAGTCAGATTCAAAAGTTTGTCTTTAAAGATAATAACTGTTCCTATTCTTTGAGTTTTAATTTTATATATTGCATTATTGAATAATAAGTTTTTAATTTACTATATATATAATATTTCATTATTCTCGATGCTTATATTGGAGATGGATGTCATTTTATAATAATGATATTATTAAAGTTAGTTTCTCAAACATGTATAAGACAAAATAATTAATAATACATGTAATGAGTACATAATTCATCTGTTAATCGTTAAGATCGGTTATTACATGTATACATGGATACACAACACACACGCAAAAATTAATTTATTAGGTGGTGTGAAATCCAAAAAGTAAGAAATTTCGACGCATGATTTGTGTAACATACAAAATTTAAGAGATGAAAAATTATATGGCTTATACCCTAAATTATTTTCGATGTTTCAATCCATATTATTTTTTGTGCTTTTTGCAAGAATTGTCGAGTGCAAGCTAATAATGAAATTAGAGCGATAGTTTCGGTTGCAGAATTTTTATAGTTTGGCAAAAATTTTTATAGCCTAAACTAATTTTGGCAAAAGCCTTACCTCAGTCACCTCTATCTGAGCTACCAGGAGAGAATGTAATAGTCTTTAAAGTTTACTCCTGTACAAGCACAAATTTTTGGTATCGGAATTTTTCTAAAAAAAAATTTTTAATATGCGCAGTGCGTAGAATATTCCAAAATGCTGCGCAACTATTTCTAATCTGTGAATCTGTGTTGAGCAGACTAATTTTAATGAAATAACTTTAATTTATTTTGTGACACTCTCCTTAAATGATATTTCAACGTATATTTAGCAAAACAAGGGGCATTCCATTCCAAAAAATTATTCAGCCACATTTTGATGGTTTTTGATAGGTCTTTTATTAGCCCGGTTTCAAATTATGATGAATAAATGACAATAAAAATCTGCTACCACAAATTGCTGATTTGGTTAGTGCCGATTTCGTTACGTAATACATGTACATGTACTGATACAAACGCGCGCGCGATCATTGAGAAGCAATCGAGATGTTTGTTGATCAGATCAGATAGCATGTTTCGTATTGTCCGTTGTGGTAATTGTGGGTCATAACACAAAAAGTATGATAACTTCTATGCTATTATCAAAAGTTTTTTTTGTTTTTTAGACTTTCAATGATAAAACACCTATTGTTTACATGCATTTAATTAATTAACATAACATATTAAAAGCTTTTCTTGTCTTTTGGTTATGGAACAAAACGAAAATATCTATGATAATAGGGCACCCATTCTTAAAGAAAATGGTGTCTCTGACGCATCAATAGAGTCAGAGTTCTCGTTTGACAACGAATCTAATGATTTTTCCGATATGCTAGAGTCACGTTTTTTCGAACTCAATGTGAAGACAGAGTCAATTAAAGACGAATACAAACCAACGAAAGATAATGACGGCAATATAAAATCGGATATTAATTTAGAAAATACATCAATAAGACCATTGAATAAGGGTAAAAACAAAGACGAGGAGGGTGAAAATTCAATTTTGAAGGTTAAAGATGTAGAGTCTTTAAGTAATAGATTAGGTGGACTAGGTATGCATAAAAAGGGGCTCGTTGGTTTAGATAAGGAGGAAGTCAATAAAATAATTTATGAAGCGTCAAAAGTACGTTGTTTCCTAAGTTGTTTTGATTCCATAAATTATCATAATAAAGTAAAGATGCATTCTTATTATAGGGATCATATTTCTTCAAAAATGAAGCTATTAAAGATGCGGCTGTCACAGCAAGAATCAACAAGATATTAAAGAATTATAATACCGTAAAGAAACTCGATCTATCACAAGAGTTCGCGATTGTAGAAACCAAACTTAAAGAAATAGAAAGTATTAGGGACTTTACACAAACGATCGTCCACGTTGACATGGATGCATTCTACGCGTCGGTTGAAGAGCGTGACAATCCCGAACTTCGTACAAAGCCGATGGCTGTTGGAAATGACATGATGCTAAGCACTGCAAACTACGAGGCACGCAAATACGGTGTGCGGTCCGCTTTGCCAGGGTTTATCGCAAAAAAGCTTTGCCCGCAATTGATTATTATTCCTGTTTCCTGGAAAAAATATGAATTGGTGACAAGTCAAATACAAGAAATCTTTTCACATTATGATTCTGATTTTAATATGATGAGTATGGACGAAGCATATTTAAATATCACAAAATATTTGCATAAAACTGAGCAAAAGCCCGAGGAAATTGTACAAGAATTACGCCAAGAAATTTCAAAGCGAACTGGAGGATTGACTGCAAGTGCTGGTATAGCTTGTAATATGTTATTGGCCAAGGTGGGTAAATCATTAAAGATCGATAGTTCTGAGTTTATTTCTCATAACTCTTATTTTTTGTGTAGATTTGTTCTGATCTGAATAAACCCAATGGGCAATATAAACTTGAAAGCGACCGTCATTCGGTCATGGCGTTCATGAAAGATTTATCTATAAGAAAAATTCCCGGTTCGTTACTGCAAGTTATTACTTTAACTTTTTTATTAGAAAATCAAAAATTTATTTAATATACACACGTCTTTTTAATTAAAAAAGGTATTGGACGAGTAACGGAACGGATTTTAAATGCTCTTGATATAAACACTTGTGGAGATTTACAAGACAATCTTGTGATAATCTATAAATTATTCACTTATACTTTCTTTAATTTTGTTACTCGTGCTGCTTTAGGTATTGGCTCTACAGATGTTGCATTGTGAGTACATGTATTTTTATCATAACGTAATGATATTTTATATATTTGTTGGATTTTTATAATGTTATTGCAAATTAGCAAAATGAAAAGAAAAAGTATGAGTGTTTCGAGGTATGTACATGTAATTTCAAGATTTGATACGAGGATCAAATCCTAATTATGTCATGTATATACATGTACATTGTTAGAACTTTTGCTGCACTGCATAAACCAGCCGATCTTCAAAGAAAACTCCGCGAGTTGGCAAAGCTATTAGAGCAAGATCTTGCAAAACATAATTTTGAGGTATTATCCAAGTTTATATAAATTATTAATTTACACTGAATATGCCGAAAAGATAATCAATCAAGTCATCACATTAGGGTTGCCATATTTCTTTGAAATTGAAAACAACGTCCTTTAAATTATTGACGAGAGGAAGATCGATTAAGAAGTTCATATATTCCGCTGATGATTTGTATAATTACGGAAAAATGGTAATGATTGCGTGCGTTATGCTTATTAATAAATATAATTTCTTAAAAATAGAATTTAGATTTTAGACGCTCATCTACCGCTCAATTTACGGGCCATGGGAATTCGTTTGACAAGTTTACGGAATAGAGATGAGCCTTTAAAACGTGGAATAAAAAGAGTACGTTGAGATTATAAACATTCCGAATTAACAAACCTTTTGCTAATTGTATATTTTTCATCAAGTATTTTAATATAAAAGAAGAAATCAAACCAAAAAGATTATGTTCAGATATTCAATCTATAAACAGCGTTTTTAAAGAACAATCACCCAATGTGCTATTACTAACCGAAGACGCCGAAAATATCGCAACCTCGCCATTTAATCCTATTAAAGGTTTAGACGACTTCAAAGGTGAAGATGATGGCGAACCAGGATCATCGATGGCAATAATTAAAAAACATGATACATGTACAATAACGTCATCCTCCGAGATCAACAGTATTGAGAAAGAAAACCCGTCTTGGGAATGTCCGATTTGTGGTCAGGGATTTATTACGTTATCTAATTTACGCATGAATACCCATTTGGATTTTTGTTTAAAGAAAGAGAAAAGAAAGAATTTAGGCGTAAGGTAATAGATATTGCATTATTATGTGCATTATATTATGTTTCGGATTAATTTTCTTACTTTAATAGTAATAGTAAAACGAAACGAAGAAATTATTTGACTCATCAAAGAAACAATCTAACGAGAACACGAAAAAATAAAAATGCACAAAACATTTTGAATGTTTGGCTTAACGTTAAAGAGTAATCAATATGATGGACAACACATTATCGATCTCTTCAAAGCATTAAAATTTTGGACTACCAAAATGTAACGAAAAAAATGAGGAAATATTTTCGCATTAAAAATGAAAGTGAAAATTTCGTTAATTTCAGAACTAAAAACAGATTTTTCAGACTTTACAGTTATTATTTGAATAATTTCTAAAATGTTTGACACTTTTGAATTGAATTGAAATTCCATTAAAGATTATTTTAATTTGATCAATTATTATTCATACACAAATTTATCAGGACATCTCTCAAAAATTATCATATTAATTTTTTAATTTCTCTAAAAATTTTTATGACAGGCAAATAAAGTTTTTTTAAGTATTATTGATTAATTTGATAGGATTGGATATGAGATGTAAAGTGTATTCTGAAATTCAATTAACAAATATTTATATGTGAGATTTAACAGGTTGATTCTCAGTAACGATCTTAAAATTCTGATTTCATATTTTATATAGATAAGTAATATCTTTATATATTTGTATTTCAATTTTAATAAGAATTACTTATATCTGAACTAAGATATAAACTCAAATATAAAGTGAATTTTAAAATTTTAAATTATTTTTTAAGAATTAAACAATACTTTTCTTTGTTTTTTATCTTTTTATTTAGTAATAAGAGATATTTTTAGTATTATTCAGTATTATCTATTATTTTCTTTTTTATTTTAATTAAATATAAAGTATTAATAAAAAATATGTAAATACAAATAATTTTTTATTATATAAAAATAAGTTAAAATATTTAAGATTTTAATTTTAAATTATTATATCTAAATAATTAGTAACTTTGTTTTTTTATTTTAATTTATTTTATTTATTTCATAATAATAATATTAAAAAGTACTTTATAAGTATAATAATTTTATATTATATATTTCTTTATTATTTTCTTATTAAAATATATATATTAAATTTAATTTTTATATTTTTTTTATTATTTTTATTTTTTATTTCTTTATTTCTTTATTTTTTCTATTTATCTAATATATTTTATTTATTATTAAAGTATTTTATTTATTATTAAAGTATTTTATTTAGTTATAAAGTAATATAAATTCAAATATATTTTTATAATATTAGTATGATTCAATAATAATTACTTCTAATAAAAATCATTCAAATTTTAACTAATCTTTATAATTTTTTTATATTAAATAAAAATAATCTAAATTATCTTTTTATACTATTTTAATTATTTATTATACTTTAATTTAATAATAAATAAAGCATTACTTTACTAAAAAAACTAAATAAAATTACTTTTTTTAAAAAAAATGTTTTAAATATTATTGTTATCAATTTATAATATTAGAATTTCAAATTATACAAGTAGATTATCTAGATTTGATAAATATATATTTTAAATTTTATAAAACTTGAATTAGTAATTATAAAAATATTAGTTTAGTAATTAAATTATTTATTATATAATTTTTATATTAATTTTAATCAAATTTTATATAGTAAAATTTAAGAAATAATAATTCAAAAAAGTTTATATTAGTAAAAAATTTTTTATAAAAGATATATAATAAAAATTTTTATATTTAAATCTTAATATCTAATAACTTAATTAAATAAGATCAAATTAAAATTTTATTTTGAAAAAATAATCTATTAATATTTATCTAATATATTAATCTTTTTGTACTAGATTATATTATAAATATAAAAATTAATTAATTAAATTATAAGATCAAGATATAATATATAATTCAAAAAAATAAAGTTTTTTAAAAATTATATTATTTTAAAATTTTATATTTCTTATAAAATCTTATTTATATAAAATTATTTTCTAAAAAATTATAAAAATAAATTAAATAATATTTTAATTAATATTATTTTTATTTAAAATAATAGGTTCTAATTATAATTATAATATTAATATTATATTAAAAAATAAAATTATAAAATATATTACTGTAATAATATAAAATTTCTTGATTTTTTAATCTTTTTCTAATTATGTAAAATTACATATTTTTATAATTTTTGTTTATTTTATAAATATTTCTTATTTTTATATTATATATTACTATATTTATTATTATATTTCTATTTTTAGATATTATATTTCATTTATATTCAAGATCTATATTTTTATTATTACTTATAATATGATATCTATATATATAATAGAATAATATAGTGAAAGATCATTTTTAATTCTGATGAAACAGTTATACTTGGATAATAATCACAATCATCTTTTCTTGTTTTTTGATATCTTTCAACATTTTCTCACATTCTTTCATATCTTTCTACATCTTTTAATATTTTTTCATATCTTTTAATATCTTTTTATATCTTTTAATATCCTTTTACATATTTCAATATTCTTCAATATTTTTTGATATCTTTCTATATACTTTAATATAATATATTTCTAATTATTTATATTATAGTACTTTAATTATATCTTATATATTAGATAATATTAGTTAGTAATACTATAATAATTTTTATATCTGAAAAATATATAAAAGGACCTACTATCCCAGCTGAAATAAATAGTTTTGAAAAGAATTGTTTGGAACATATAAATTATACTAGTACCCTTTCTTGGTTT